TAAACCTAACTGGCAGATATGTTTTAAGTGAACATCTGTGAATAATTTCATCTGAAAATGTCCAGTCAACAACAACATCAGTGACGCAACAACGACATCACACAAAGGAGGGTCACTTGCAGTCAATACCGTGTGTGTCCACCGTGCGCTGCAAGACATGCTCGCAGTCTTTGGTGCATTGAAAGACACACATTTCTCAGGAACAGCTGTTGGATGGTCTGCAGCCTCTGATGGTCTGTGGTCTGATCATGACACCACCCCCCCTCCAAAACAATCATGTTCAAGGACACAGTTTGGCGCAAGTCTTTCTCCTTTACGTCGATAAATCTGTTGACGTCCATCTGCAAAGGATAAGTTAAACCTGGATTCATCTGAAAAAATGAAACTTGGCCATGACCTGTTGCCAAGATTGGCCCAATTTGCCGCCCATCGCTGTCTAGCAAGTCTGTGGCGATGCAATAAGGTTGGACCACGGTACGGGTGACGACACCGGATGTTGAAGGCAGCAAGGCGTCCTTGCACCTTTTTGGGCGCTGAAATGACGTTGACTTGTCCCAATTGTCCTCCTTGCCTAATCATCAGCTGTTTGGAACCGATTTCGCAAGTGTGAAACTAGGATATTGCGGTTTTGTCGAGCTGTTATCACAGGTGGTGCACCAGTCGACTTACAGTGGATGGATGCACATTAAAGTGCCTGGCAATCATCACATCTGAAGCACCGTGGCTGACCATACCGATAACCTGATTCCTTTCGTCTTGTGTCAAGTGTGGCATTTTCTCAAAGTGATTGAGTTCCACAATTCCTTGTGCTTTTACAGGGCCTGGGTGCAGGTAATGCATGTGCACAACGTGTTTCATGAATGTGGTTGTGTTTCCGAGAAATGTCACAGGTTCAGTTTTAAGTATCAAAGTTCATGTGAGAGGAATGCTCCGGGACTCGAACTCGAAATGGGCCATAATAACAGCCTTTTATACCTACATCCTCTGTATCGCAGGAACAAATCTTCAATAGAACTTTTGTAAGTTTCAGGACAACAAATACCAATTGCGTTTTTAATGGCTTACAGTATATTAAAAAAAACGCATACGCGTTTTGTATTTTTAAAAATCTATTAATTACCTATTGTGTTCAAACAATCGTCAAAATATGTAACAAAAGTGTTGATGACATGACTCTACACAATTGCACAAGTAAAACATCGACTTTACCTGAAAATGTTGATTTTGATGAGATTTCTTACAAGGATTAAAAAGGCATCGCCACAACGTAACAGAAATCACCTTCCAGTTGAAATTGTGCAGCAAAGAGCATGCAATGTCTTGCTATAAAATCCGGAAATCGGCATTCGTTTTGAAGAAGTTCAAGGTCAAATCACTACACCACGTCTTGACAGTGCGACACGGAACATCGCCATTGAAAGAATGCAAGCTGGAGATTACCAATCTTCTGTTGCCAGGCGTCTGAATGTTAGTCTGAGTACGATATCATGGCTTGCAGCTCGTTACAACCAAACAGGTATAACAAATGACCGTCCCGTACAGGCAGACCTCGAGTCACCACTGCAGTCCAAGATCGGTACATCCGGGTACTACATTTGCGTGATCGTACTGCCACAGGTGAGAGCACAGCAACCAGGGTGCCTGGACTTCAGAGGATAGCCGGTCAAACTGTACGGAACAAGTTGAGAGAGATTGGACTGAGAGCCAGGAGATCTGACGTCGGGACCGTGCTACGTCGTCACCATCGCGCTCAACGTCTCCGTTATCTAAAAGTATCCACTTGGTTGTATAGACATTACCTTCTTCTAAACTGATGTAAACATTCATGTACTTAAGTCTATTTGTGGACGAGTTCTACATGTTTGAAAATACAACATTTTCGCAACAGATTTCTGGTTTATGCTTGTCTTTTTTTGAATAGTATACGAGTGTTGTTCTACGTTGCGTATGTATGTATCATGAGCATGCATGTATGTATGTATGTACGTACGCACGTACGTATGCATGCATGTGAGCATGTATGTATGTGCGTGCATGCAAGTGTGTATGTGCGTATGTATGCATGCGTGCATGCGTGTGTAAATGTATGTTAATGCATGCATGCATGCATGTCTGTGTGTGTATGTGTGTCCCTGTGTGTGTGTGTGTATATATGTGTGCGTGCTTGCTTGTGCGAATGTGCACAATGAATGTGCACAATGTGTATGTATGCATTAGTGTGTGTGCGTGCGTGCATGTATGATGTATCAAATAGTACAAACTTTAATCTGCGAGTTATTTGCGTTCAACTCGGCAGTAAACAGACTCGTTTTAAAAGACCTGCACATTCAGGTTTAAAGTCCCAAACTCATGTTGCGGAGTTCTTCTGAACATTTGTAATACAACTTCAAGCTCTCATGAAACGAAATGTTATGTTGTGTCCTCCACAACATGGCTATGTTCATGCATTTAAAACCTGAACAAAAAGGCAAGCGAAGAACGGTTGAAAAGATTTTGTTTGAAAACTCATCTTATTTTGTACCCATTAAGATCCTGGTTAGAATTGGTCTTCAGCAATCCACACTTGTCCTAAGAGGCAACTAACGGGATCGGGTGGTCAGACTCGCTGACTTGGTTGACACATCTCATCGTACCCCAAATGCTAAGACTGATGCTCACTCCGTTGATCACTAGATCGTCTGATCCGGACTCCATTATTTGCAGACCGCTGCAATATAGCTATAATATTGCTGAGTGCGGCGTTAAACAAAACACCCAAATCATATTGTTTTGTTACTATCAGCAAAACCTATTTTGACCCGTGAAGATCCGGGACCCATCAACCCATTCTCATGGTGAGAGGCGACCCACGGGATGGGGGTGTCAGGGTCGCTGACGTGGTTGACACATCCCAATTGCGTAGATCGATGCTCATGGTGTCAGTAACTGATCCAGACTCGTTTGGTACAGACCGCTGTCGTATAGCATGCATATTGCTGTGTGAGGCCCTTGTTTAACATAAAACTATGCATGCAAAGTCTGTATATGCCATCAGATAGCACCATGTATGTATGTATGTATGTATGTATGTATGTATGTATGTATGTATGTATGTATGTATGTATGTATGTATGTATGTATGTATGTATGTGTGTATGTATGTATGTATGTATGTATGTATGTATGTATGTATGTATGTATGTATGTGTATGTATGTATGTATGTATGTATGTGTGTATGTATGTATGCATGCATGTGTGCATGTATGTATGTATGTGCGCGTGCGCGCGTATGTGTGTGTGTGTGTGTGTGTGTATGCGTGCGTGCATGTGTATTTAAAATTCTGCAAATGTAGTAAGGGTAAGGGGGTAGGCGAATTTTCGAAAAAGAATAGGGATGGGTGATTGGTTTGTTCGAAAGCTTGAAAAACGTTATGCTGACAGTATTTTTCTGTTAAAAAATCCAGAATGCTAAAGTGTCGGTTCCAAAATAGATAATCAAAGATATGCATTTTATAAATATTTTTATTTCCGATCTGTGCGTGCTGGCACAACACTTTGGAGCTGGAACCTTCCACCAGGCATGACCAACTGAATCTTCAGTAGGAACATCTGCAATACAAAAGTTCTTTGAGCTTCCTATATCAAACACCCCACCAAGAAGGCTATTATTCCAATTTATGCTAGCATCGCAACGCGTTCGTATTAGAACTCTTTTACTGGACATATTTGCTCACCTGATTGTTTACTATTGCTTTCATATCAAATGTAGCTCCACATCAAGTCATGTACTTAATGGGAAGTTGTCAAGATATTTCTTTTAAAAAAGCTGTCATGAGGTACGATCTTGGATGTGTATTTTTATGCCATTTAAGAACCAGTTACATCATATTGGCATTTTGTGGGTTTTTTTTCCATATCAGAGACTCCGAGGTCAAGGTCATGGTCAAGGTCAAGGTCTGTCCGTTTAAGGTTTGATACTTCTGTATATTTTGTCTAAGCTGGGTATTCATGTTAAATGGTAGCTACATCGTCTAGCTTTATAAAACCGTCATTATTTTTATTAGAACAAGACCCCTAAAGATCCGGGCTAGAATTAATCTTCAGCCACGAATGCTTGTCGTAAGAGCTAGGCGACTAACGGGATCGGGTGGCCAGACTCGCTGACTTGGTTGACACATTTCATCGTATCCCAATTGCGTAGATCGATGGTCATACTGTTCATCACTGGATTGTCTGGTTCAGACTCGATTATTTACAGACCGCAGTCATATAGCTGGAATATTGCTGAGTGCGGCAATAACAACAAACAGAACAGGACTGGGTTAGAACAAAGCTGACATATGACACACATAGATGCAGTAAAACAAAACTCAATGATGTTTATGACCTTATTCAGCTCCATTTCACCTCACCATATGAATCTGAACATTTGTATTAATGTGTGGTAATGGCAGTTGAGGCATGTGAATGTTCAGATAAAAGTATTGCTTTTTGCTAATGCCTCGGCAAGTGAAGGCAGCACATTTTACAAATTATGTTGTTGATTCACCTGAGGATTCGGAGATTGATTTGTTTAATATTATACACTGCCCACTGATAACGAAACATAGTTAACAAATTGACCAAGCCTGACCGCCGATTCCCTTTTACTCCTACAAACGCATTGGTTGATTGGGACCTATGCAAAGGTAGAATCTGATAATACAAAATCGTCTACAGTAATCTCCAGCCCCGTCTTGGGCGATGTGGCAGCCTAGTTGTTAAAGCGTCCGTTTGTCACGCCGAAAACACGTGTTTGATTCCCTACGTAGGTACAATGTGTAAACCCCATTACCCTGTCTCCCGCCCTCCCTCACTCATCTGTTGGATCAGTTTGCTTTCTTGTACTCTTTGCTATTTTCAACAATCATAAGCAGGTATGTGTAAGTATAGCAACTTATAGATTAACGCTAATAGAGGTTCAGGTAAAAGGCATTTGGAACATTTTGTTACCTTCTGACCACATGTGAGACGAGGACATCATCCTAGAACTGCCTTTGGGACAACATATCCAAGTGGTGATCCTGCTCTTGCTGCTGCAGCTGCTGCTCTTCTACCTGGATGGTCTAACTCGATATCTCCAAACCTGAACGTTGGTCGGTAGAATACAGACCCAGACAGACCAGCAGGGCGCACACCAACACTAGCACCAGGAGCTCCGGTGCCAACACTGGAACCGACGCTGGGACCGCTAGCGCCACCAACACCGACACTGGGACCGACACTGGCCCCGGGAGCGACGCCAGCACCGACACTGGGTCCGACACCGACACTGGGACCAACACTTCCAGCACCGGCTGTTCCTCCCATGAAGACAGGTCCCAAACCAGATGGACCGGCTGCGGCACCAGGTCCTGCTATTAGGTAGGTGACTTGAGGTCCAAAAGCTGCTGCACCTAGATTAGCACCGGCACTGGCAGCAAAACCTGGACCAGCGGCAGGGCCTGCATTTGCACCAGCACCAGGTCCTCCTTGTAAGAAAACGGTTCTAGGTGCAAAACCTCCAGTTGCGGATGCACCTTGTGAGGCAGCACCCCCAGAAGCTCCAACGAAGGTTCGCGGAGCGTTGATGATGACGTATTGAGGAAGGCTACCTGCGAAGGGACCGGGACCTCGTGCAGCGTTGGCTAAATTCAGGTATACTCTCTGCACTTGTCCTTGGGATTGTGAAGGATCGGCGACCCTCGGGAAAAGTGTCCCGACCCGTCCGGGTGACTGGAGATACCGATCGCCATTGAAGGTTGCCGCTACCAGCGCGGGCAGGAGAACGACAAGTGCAGCTATCATCTTGGACTTCTTCTGCAAATGTACATTTTATCTTTCAATACGTACATATCATCAACGAAAAATGGGCGGAAAATTCCGTCACAAGGGGTGGTGCGTAAGTCTAGTGGTAACAGCGTTCGTTCGTCACGTCAAAGACCCAGGTTCCCCAGATGGCTACAATGTGTGAAATCAATTTCTAGTGTCCCAAGCTTTGATATTGCTGGAATATTTCTAAAACCGACGTAAAACAATACTCCCTCACTCACTATTTCGTCAGAGATTATCATCTAGAAGCTGAGATTTAGGCACGGTTGGAAATCTTTCACGTGAAGGGGAAAGTTAGACTGAGTGAGTAAATGGTAACGCCGTTTTCAACATTATTCCAGTTGTATCACAGGTTATCATCATAAAGTAGGAGAAAAGGAGCACGCATATAGTGGTGGCAAACCAAGAAACATAACTCGGACGAACCGAAATTCGACCCCATAATCATGGTCCAATAGACCTACTGACCTTGACTGCTCAATATGAAGAGTGAGTTAGTGAGTTTAGTTTTACGCCGCTCTTAGCAATATTTCAGCAACATCACGGCGGGTGACACCAGAAATGGGCTTTACACATTATACCCATGTGGGGAATGGAACCCGTGTCTTAGGCGTGACGAGCGAACGCTTTAACCTCTAGGCTACCATACCGCCCGTCAATACGAAAATCGCCGCCATCTAGCTGGAATATTGCTGAGTGCGGTGTAAAACTAAACTCACTCACTCACTCAATACGAAAAATTGGAGGCAGCTCAAAAACGTGCTCTGAAACTACACTAAATGAAGAGGCAAGAAGTGTTACAAGCAATACAGATCACCTTTAAAATCTCGCTCGTCACGCCGAAAACCCAGGTTCGATTCCCCACATGGGTACAATGTGTGAACCTTTCCGCCGTGATATTGCTGGACTATAAGCGATACTCACGTTAAGTCACACGCACTCACTCACCCTTCAAATTAACCTCACTGGCTACATCAAGCCCTACCAACAACCTGACCACAAAAGGCCATACTTACCGCTGTACCTAACCTGTAGCAGGATTGACCACCTATGGCACTTCTAAAAAAGCGTTCCGTTTATATGGGCCAGGATAAGAATGATCACATTTTTTATGGATCAATTAGCCTTTGGTGTAAGCAATAAAAAAAACCAAGTTGAATGATGGCTTGTCTCTATATGACGTTCACGCCTTAGTATTTGACAGCAAAAAGGAAATATATATCCAGAATATCTGATTTACGTTAAGCAGTTTGGTCAGATGTAATGACCGATCAGCGACTTGTCAGACTTACTTCTTTGAATTGATGTTTACAATCAGTTTACCCAAGGGAAATCACGCTGTCATTTACAAAAGCTTAAAAGTAAACCGCACGTGTTCGTATGCATCAATCAATGTAAACAAGATTCATTTCTTTGCACTTAGGTCTGTGGTCGTCACAGGGACAAAAGCCTATGTGTACTTTGAAGATTGTTCGTATGTTTATTTTTTGTTTTATTATTCTAGGTATTTTGACGTTACTGGGACAATATCCAATGTGTAATTTAAAGTGTGCTCGTATATTTATTTGTTATATTATTCTAGGTATTTGGACGTTACTGGGACATTATCATACGTGTAATTTAATGTGTGCTCGTATATTTATTCATTGTAGTATATTATGTATTTGGACGTAACTGGGACAATATCCAATGTGTAATTGAAAGTGTGCTCGTATATTTATCTGTTATATTATTCTAGGTATTTGGACGTTACTGGGACATTATCATACGTGTAATTTAGTGTGTGCTCGTATATTTATTCATTGTATTATTTTATGTATTTGGACGTTACTAGGACAATATCCAATGTGTAATTTAAAGTATGCTCGTATATCTATTTGTTTCAATATGCTCGGTATTTGGACGTTACTGGGACAATATCCAATGTGTAATTTGAATATATATTTGTTTTATTAGTTTAGGTATTGGACGTTACTAGGACAATTTTTGTGTTTTGTGTGTAACAGACGGATTTCGGTGCCATCTGAGGCTATTGGATGATGCATATCCTGTCCTACTTGTGTCACCAGTCACAAACACGTACAAAGGCAAGTCAGCTATTTTCTTTAAAAAAACACGGAAACGTGTGCTAAAAGTCCAAATAGGGATATCATTTTTGACACTGATGCATTAAATTTGGAAATACCTCCAAATGTCTACCATTTAACATTTGAACTCTGATTCTATAACTCCGATCATACAGAACAGAACAGAATATGTTCAGTATTTTGGCCATATGGCCTAAAGTACAATTGTAAGCGAAGCGTTTTAAAGGTCACATGACAGTACGACTTATATATTTGCCGCAAAGCAAATGCATGTTGCAAGTAAATAGCATCAGTATTCTGACTATTTTGAAGACAAACCGCATTTACATTAGCGGGAAGATTTACCACATTTACATTACGCGTATGGATATCTATTTTTTTTTACAGACATATGACATTCGTCTTCCATGACTCCAATGTTACACGATGGGCATATTACATTTGAAATATCTTTTCTTCAGATTTACTGAAATTGTTTATTTCAATGTTATGGATAGAACTTCTAAATTTTCAAAAAGCACGTACTAATGATTTTTACATGTCATTGTGTTATATACATTTCGGTTGAAGAAGAGATTTATATCTACTGTAATGTTAAAGTAATTTCGAATTTTGTACATTAAAAACGAAATATATTATAGTCTTCCATATCTTGACTAATCCATACAAACGAGAAAACAGTTGTAAAAAATAAATTTATACATCGGACACCCAATTACAATTATATTTTCCATTTTCATTCTGCGACTTAACATTAAAAAGCATTAGTGCGGATAACTACAACAATTCATTCCTAACAATTTAGTCAGAAAGCATGTTATGGCGACCAACCTCACCCACATTAGCTATGTATGATGCAAATTTGCCAACATTTAAATAACGTTTGAAGAATACAGCAAAAATCCAATAACATTGGAATATTCAGTCCCTCAAATTTCAGCACCAGAATTATAATAAAATGGGAACAATTTTACAAATATGGTAGAAGCTGACTTGAGTGATAAGTGTTTATTTCGATCGAAAAAATGAAGTATTGGAAACAGAACTTTGCTAGCTTTATTTGCTTGAACAGCACATGATATTGACCAATTTAGTGCAGATGAAAATGTTATGCATCAATATGTATACTATATAACAGCATTACCAATTCCTCATGGTGTGCTACAATTCCCCTGTTCCGAAAAACAGTAACATTACTTTTATCCATATTTACCTTAAAATCCCAAGTTAGACAAAACTTGTCAAGAATATGTAGTTGTCTCTGGAGACCACTCACATAAATGAGAAAGTTACAATATCATCAGCAAAGAGTAAAAGCAATAGATTCTCAATTTTTTGTGTTACAAAAATACCATAGTTATAACTGTTATACATATTGAACACACGTTCATTGATGAAAAATATATATAATATTCGACTTAACATACAGGCCTGTCTTTAAACGCATATTTGTCGAAAATATTGGGGTCTTTGCCCTCCGGAGTTTTAACAGAAGCTTAAACAGGTAAGTACATATTCTAATTCAACTTAGTATGTAACACGAGTCAATGCTATAAATTTCCGACCGCATAATCAGCATCTACGGTCGCAATTTGAAAACCGATTCACCAAAACTTTTGAATGTATCCCTACACCATTGGGGTAACGCTGCTTTGCAGGACATTGTCATTTGCAGAAGCCATAGGTCAATTAACTCCCCTATCCAGCTAAAATGGGTGGAATTTGTGTCAAAAATGACAAAACAATATCATCAATTTAATTTTAAGTTCAAACAACTTACTCGCAACGGGCTGTTGACCCAACACTGTTAGATCATGAAACAATATTTATGACGTCATTATGGAGCGTGACGTCACCTGCTGTGACGTCATTTGACAACAGAACTGATAATGGCCCGTAGTTGAGGAATCAGCGGGCCACTCATTTCTGTAACTAGAGGGCGGTTTCATCATAATTCCGTCCATTTTATCTATAATACTATGATCTATTCATCATTGTCAGATTTAGCCTGTGTGCACATAGTAAACGTGTGTAGTTTGAAAAGGGAACTATTTTTCAGGCGATGGTGTAAGTTCAAGGAGTGATATGATTAACCTTTGACCTTGAGGAACTTTGACCTGGTTTAAAAAATGAATTTCACGAAAAGACAGCGTAAAACGAGTTGAATTAGAATGGGGATAACTTTACTGTGTTTGACGAATTGGGGACGTATACCGGTGGTTATATAGCCGCAAATTTAACGTTATATCAGCTCCGCTTACGCGTTGCCGATATAAATAAATTTGCGGCTATATAACCACCGGTATACGTCCCCAATTCGTCAAACACAGTACAGTTATCCCCTAATTTTAAGAACATACTATAATTTACCACAACATTTGATATGGAGCTTAAATCTGTCCACCTGGGGAACGCAAGCGTCGGCGAAACGTTCACGTCGACGTCTGTACACCCGCATTCTTCCATCGCGTCGTTCCAATAGAAATCGTGATTCATCACTGAACCAGATTCTACGCCAATTCGGTAGGTTCCAGGCCTGAACGTTGGTGCACCATTGAACTCGATGTCGACGATGTTGTTGTCGAAGCACAGGGCCAAAATAAGGTCTTCTGGCACGTAAACCCGCCTCTCTCAACCTGTTCCTGACGGTCTGTGCAGAAAACCTCCTCAATCCGGGTATTTGTCGAGCGGTACTGGTCGCCGTAGCTGTTCGATGAAGCAGGTGATGTACCCGGATGTAGCGATCCTGCGCCGCAGTGGTCGCTCGAGGTCGCCCACTACGAGGGGCATCTGCTACCGCATTCTGCCGGCGATATCTCTCCCAGAGCCGTGAAATGGTGCTTTGGTGAACATTCATACGTCGGGCAACTACACGTTGAGACTGGCCAG